TTTTTTTTTTTTTTTGAGAGAGAGAGAGAGACAGCATGCATGCGCAGGGTAGGGACAAAAGGAGAGAGAGAATCTTAAGCAGGCTCCGCACTCAGTATGCAGCCCAACGCAGGGCTCAATCCCATGATCCTGGCATTGTGACCTGAGTAGAAATCATGAATCAGAAGCTCAACCGACTAAGCCACCAGGAGTCCCTGAAATATACTTCTAAGTTAAAAAAATAAATAAATAAAGCAAGAAGCAGGAGAATTGTTAGGCCATCTCTCGTGTAAGAAAGAAGAATACAAAATTAAACATACACATACATATTCTCACAATGGAAGAAGGATAAACCAAAAATATGTTTTTTAGTTTCTTGTGAAGGAAGAGCAACAGGGTAAAGATGACAAGAGAATGGATGCTACATTTTTCCGAATGTACTTTTCTTTACAATTTTGACTTTAAAACATGAATATTTAACATACTTTTTGGACTTAAATAGAAAAAAAAGGTAATCCCTAAAAACTGAAAACAAACAGAAACAAATAATCCTAACTGTATGCCATGTTGATAACACAACTACACAAAGAAAGATATTTCAAGTAACTCTAAAACAGAATTTTGATTCTCCATTACTGACAACCACTAAGTGAGAAGTTTTCCTTTATGCTTTCAATGCAGATCACAGCGAGCTTGTCAAGTATAGGACATGCCATGTTTATCCTTGAACTTCAAGTGAATAACACATAGTAAGCCTGAAAAACTGTTTAATAAATAAATGTGAATAAATGACAGAAGCTTAAATACAAAGATAAAGCTATCAATGCTCCCTCCTCTAATCCTGGAAAGAAAGAAAGAAGAAAGAAAAGAGAAAAGAAAAGAAAAGAAAAGAAAAGAAAAGAAAAGAAAAGAAAAGAAAAGAAAAGAAAAGAAAAGAAAAAAAAGAAAAGAAAGAGAAAAGAAAAGAAAAGAAAAGAAAAGAAAAGAAAAGAAAAGAAAAGAAAAGAAAAGAAAAGAAAAGAAAAGAAAAGAAAATGGTGTTGGGGCACTTGAGTGGCTCAGGTGGTTGAGTGTCTGACTTTAGCTCAGATCGTGATCTCGCGGTTCTTGAAACTGATCCTCACATCAGGCTTGCTGCTGTCAGTGCAGAGCCCACTTTGGATCTTCTGTCCACTCTCTCTCTGCCCCTACCCTGCTTGCTGTCTCTCAAAAATAAATAAACATTTAAAAAAATTTTTTTAAATGATGTCATTATAATTTTTACATACTTTTCCAATAAGAGATGGACTTTCCATGATCTTTCAGTCTGTCCTTGCAAAACACCTTAAGTTGGAATTTTGGCCACTGTTTGATTTTAACAGTGTTTCTCAGCCTTTTTTCATTATCATTCCCCTAAGGAAACTTTATAGATTTTTTTTTTTTTCCTAATTGCTCCCCTCCTCTGATATTTTAGAACCACAGCCATTCGGACATCCATTTATATCCTATATGCTATGCTTGTATTTCATATATATAAATAATAAGCTTTTTGCCCCTGCCCCAGGCAAAAACATCAATTTTTAACACTTTTGAGAATGCACAGATTAGACAAACAGCTAGTCTCTCTTGACCTCATTATACCACTGAATCTAAGCAATGTAGGCTAAGCATCCACTTACATACAACAAATAAACTGCGGTGAACAGGGTAGGTAGGTACTCAACCTCCACTGCAAATACTTCTGTGTCTTTAGTACTTCAGAAATTTTAAAAAGCCAAAATCCCCAGATGGAACTCAGCTCTTGCCAATTAGATGTACTTCAGACCTAGGTGCTTTGACGAGCTAACCTGAAGCAAAGCCATCTTTCTGTTGCTTCGGCTAGTTCCAGCCGGCGAACTGGTCAGCTGTAGGACTACCCAGTTTCCTTTTTCTTCCTTTCCCCTCCCATTCCAATGTCTAGTCAACAGTTTCCTGGGAGTTAAGAGACACACAGGAGACACCCCTTGTTTTGTCGCCATGGCCTACCGGTGTGGAGCTAGCAGGTGCAGTAGAGCTCTGCCGCTGTGTTGTTGCTCAAAGAAGAGTAGAAATACGTAGGTGCTACTGGCCTTCGTTGTCCGGAGGTCAGAAATGCAAAACATCCTGCAAGAGGCGGAACAGCCGTGCACAACGAAGCAGAATCCAGCCCAAACTGTCAACAGTGCTCTCACTGGAGACACCGCTCAACAGTGGCAGTCACACTGCTTCCTCACCTCTGGGTCACACCTCAAGAGACCTCTTCCTGAAGTCTCAGCTCCAATGGCAGTCACCTTCCTGACTGTGGCACAGGAAATGGCTCCTCAGGGCTCCAGTTCTGCAAATGCTGTTCTGGATGTCATTCTTGAAGGCTTTTCTAGATCTTGTTCCTTCAGCTCTTGCAACGACTTTTTTAGCAACTAATTCCCTATATTAAATCCATTTCTGCTTTAAATAACTAGTTTTTATTTCTGCAACTGACCCCTAATATCTAAAGCAAATTAAGAAGAAATAACATTTGAAGGAACATTTCAGTACCCTGCAATCTGAGGTTTGATTTAAGAAGGGGGAGGACATCAAAGTTAAACTAGTATTTCCTCAGTGTGGTCTCAAGCAAGGTGAAAATAAACATCTAGCCTTGTGTTTCTCAACCATTTCTTCACTGTCACCCCTCAAAAGACATTCTTAAGACTTTTTTTCCTGATTCCACTGTCATGATAGTTTAATACCGCAGATTACGCTTTTTCTGTTTGTGTCCACTATGTTTATCTTTGCCTCATACAAAAAGAGTAAGATACCGCGCCCCAAAACCAACTTTTATCCCCTCAGAAGTGATATCTCCCCCACTGAGAATGTGTGGTCTAGTATTTGTTTAGTCTCTTCAGTATACAACAAGAAAACACTATATGGATGCTTATGGAGTGAGGAACCTTCTCTAGCTTTTGCCAGAAAGGTTTCCCAGACTGACCCACACATTATGCTAGTACCTCCAATGATTCCAAATCAATGTTCTCCTCTGTACTTAATTATAAATCTACTCTACTTTATATAAACCCAGTAGTTTCTAAATATTTATTTCTAAAAATAAACATATATGAATTAATATAGGAATACAATGTGTATAATACAAAATACATAGGCTAAAGATTAGGTTCTCTTTTTAAAAACATAAATCTTTAACATTTAATGAGCTCTGATATATCAAATCATTCTAGATTCAATTGTAAAAAGATCTGCACCTTTTTGAGGCACTATTGTACAAGCATGTGCATCTTGCTTATGTTCTGTATTGCATGGACTAATGTCTATATTCATCGTGTGCCCCCTAGATAGGGTATAAAAGTAAAAAGTGTTTATTTGTCTAATTTCCTCTATAAAAATTCCCCAGGCTTTTCACATAATTTTCTCTGAAAATGTTCTTCACAAAGAAAAAACCCTGACCTTTGGCCAAGAAAAACAACAACAACAAAACCTGTGATACAAGTTTGGGCCATCCCACTCCCCCCCCCCCCCCCCCCCCCCCCCAACTATTTGTAGACAAACTTTTTACCTAGTATCTATTATCTCCTAGTTTTCCTCAACATCGGTGCTGGAGTGTGCAAAATTTAAAAGCAGTCTCTGGGAATCTACGAAATACTGAATTCTGTGAAGTTAAGAACCTCACTTTATCTCTTGCTAGCCTAATTTTAAATTTAGTAAAATAAGGAGTGAATTTTAAATTTAGTAAAATACGGAGTGAATGAAGGAGGAGAGCTTGGTGGTCCCTGCTGACTCTATGGATCAGCTCAAGAGGCCTACTTGGCAGACAACTGACTACTGGGTCTTCCCCCCAGTCAGCTGCTGCCTGTCTTCACTCCTTCCCCCATTCAGCACAGATGTCAAGGTCCATCACTTCAGCCCTCTGTCCAGCCATAATTTCTTACGTTTGTTTCACTGCCCTTCCGTAACACCCACAGAGCCAGACCCAACCCTGGGTTGACACAACTGACCACCTTGTCTAAAACTAGATTGGGGCTGTGGCTGGCGGGATCAAACCGAACCAAACCCACAGCTCAGCAAAATACTGCAAGCGGCAGAACCACCTCACCAAGCACAGAGCACTGTCATCAGTTGTCTCCTCCGTATTCATGCCACCCTTTAGATTACAAGAGCTGAACACTGACTATCCTTTATCCTATTCGCCAGTGAATCTCCGACACTAGGTGCTTAGAACAGATTCCAGTTCACCTTTAACGAATGCATTAATGATTACTAAAAAGATACCAGAATCTCTGGAGCTGATTCTCTCCAAAGGCTGCTTCTTTAAAGGCAAGTAGAACCGGTAGAAGAAAACGTGTAGCAGGTATCTGTGTGCAAGCATCTGAGCAAAATCTTAGTGCTCTGAAAATCTGCATACATTCCACATGTCGACACCTGTAGGAACTGTACCCTGCAGTGGAAATCTGCGCCGGTTAAGAAATAGTTCGACCTCTGCCCCGCTCCCCGCCGCCCCCAGCCTAATTCCAGTCTCACAAAGAAGCTTTCCCCAATTACCATTGTCTCTTTTCCACCAGTTTGCTCCTCAGTAGCAGTAGCAGACTGCGCAGAACTTAAAAGCAGTGTCTAGAAAGGCAGGCGGTGGGGGACACGGCGGAGGAATCCCTCAATTAAAAACAGATCACAAATGCTATTTTCTGCCAAATACCTGGTATCAGCAGACAGAAACCGAAGTGTTCGGCTTTATCACTACAATGTCCTCCCTTCGGCACAGCAAGGATACTGGTGGAGACAGTCCCCACTCGGAAAGAAGCAAGTCCGTCATTAACACCACGACACCCAGCCTCCCCAATCCCGGTCCACACCTGCGAGGTCTCCCTCCTTCCCGGGAGCCTGACACGACCGCACCACGGTCCGCCACGCGAGGCCTCGGACCCGGGGCTCCCGCACCCACGCCCCGTCCGCTTCGCAGCCCACCTCACAGTCCAGGAGCTCGGTGCCCGGTTCCTGCCGCCCCGCGATCCGGCAGAACACGCACTTGCTACTGTAGTCCTCGGGCTTCGACGGTCTTGAGACAACTTCGGCGGTCTTCGATGAAGACACCTTAGGTTCCGCAGTCGCCGCTGCCTCAGAGCAAGGCTCGGACCCCACGCTGTCGCACCTCTGATCCTCCGCCATCGCACCCGCTCCGGGTGGCCAAGAGCTATGACTGCTCGGGCACCACTGACCCTGCGCAGAGTCCGCCTCCTGCACCTCCTCAGTTTTACCTGGAGGCGTCGCCCTTCGCCTGGCGCAGAGAAAGGCAGGGAGTTGGGCGCACGCGCTGATCCAGGATGACGATAGACAAAGGGCGACGCAGGGATGGTCCTCAAAGCCAGGAAACACGAGGGGGCGTGCGAGTACGCACTTGGGTGCTAGCGGGAAGAGCCGTAGGTGGCTACGGGAGTCGCCCCGCCCCCTTCGTCTCATTGGTAAAGACGCAACATGTTCTTCGAGACGCAGGAGCGCGCACCGTCGCGATGACGTCACCTGCGCGCCCTCACGTCTGGCCAAAAGGAACTTGGTGGGTACGTTGGACTTTCTTTTCCGAAGGTGGAAGTTCGCTTTATTTTGAAGAAAAAAAGAAAAAAAAAAAAAAAAAAAAGAGAGAGAGAAAGAAAAAAGTGTTAAAAATTTCGTACGTTTTAAACGAATGAGCACAATTTCTAGAGCTTGCTTTTCAACATAGATTATGTTTGATCTTTTCTTTCGTGTGTGCATTTTCAGCCACGATGGTTTGCTAAAGCTCAGAATATCCAAAACTGAACTTCATATCACTGTCTACTTTTTTGTTGTTTACAGCACCAGCTAGATCAAAATAGCGGCTTTTATTTCACATTCCTCAATACACAGGTAAATGTGGAGTCTTGTAGTTTATAGTCTGTAATAGTCCAGAAATTCATTGCTCCTGCTTCATGCTTTCATGCTACAGTAACCCTCTAATTAGTTTCCCTCCTCCATTCTCCTGTTACTCAGTAATTATCGCGCCCCCCCCCCCCCCCAAAAAGCCCCAATTTGTTAATTTGATATTCAGGGTGGACTCTGATTTGACCTAAGCTTTTCATTTTGTAATACTTGGCATTTACTGAACGTCTAAAATGTGCCATATATTTCTCTAATTGTTAAAATAAACAAGGTTGGTTTAGACCACTAAGATAAAAGTTGGTCTAACTCAGGAATCCACCAGAATTTATTTTTAATTTTTTAATGTTTATTTATTTTTGAGAGAGAAAGAGAGCTGGGAAGGGGCGGAGAGAGAGAGGGAGATACAGAATTCGAAGCAGTCTCCTGACTCTGAGCTGTCAGCACAGAGCCTGACTAGCTTGTTATAGTAACCTTGTTATTTGTTGGCTTAGAAAATACGTAATAACAAAGCCCTATGGTGAATGCAGTCGTTTTTGAATGATTTCTGTTGTATTATTTGAAGACATTTAGGGGTACCTGGGTGGCTCAGTCAGTTAAGCCTCTGAATCTTGATTTCAGCTCACGTCAGAAAATCACGGTTGGTGGGTTCAAGACCCCCATGGGGCTCTACAGAGCCTGCTTGGGATTCTCTCCCCCCCCCCCCCCCCCCTCTGCTTTTCTCCTGCTCACTCTCTCTCTCTCAAAAATAAGTAAACTTAAAAAAAATTATATATTTTTAAGTAGTTGTACACATGTGTTCAAGATATTTTTCATTCCTTTTGCAGTTTTCCAATGGTTTGGGGGACCACTATAATAGCTTCCTAGCCTCTCTCGGGAGTCCAAGGCAAAGTTCAGAATCGATGCACTACTTTGCCTTACTTAAGTATCCACTATTTTCATGCACTGTAATATACACTTTGATATACACTTTCACATCACTTTGTTTTTATCCACACTTTTCCCTCTGAAATAGTCTTTGTTTCCATCTCTGCACATCCCCTTTCCAATCCCTTCCTCAAATGCTACTGTGGTAGCTACTGTGGTCCCCTCTCTAAGGGAAGAAAAAAAAAAAAAAAACCCTCAAGGCAACCTGGCTATATATATGCCTACGTGACAGCATGCCTCACAACCTTGTAACATGAGACCACTTAATCAGGCTGCATGTTTGTGTGTTACCATATACGGGAAACCAAGAAGTAAAAAATATATAAAAAGCTATGCCACATGGCATTCGGGGCTCAGTTCTTTGGGTACAAACCCAACTGAGTGGTGCTGGCAGGAATAAAGTTGCTTCCTGGAAAGAAAAGCCTTAGTGTCACGACTGCCTGTGCGAGAATCCTGCTACACTACCTCCTTCATGACATTTTTTTTTTTAATTAACCAAACTGAAAATAAGTACTTCCTCTTGTGAATTCACATAGCAGTTTTTCAATACTTCTCTTGTAGAACTAAACACTTTGTATTGTATACTATTTATGTAGATACCTTTTTTCTTACTAGAAATTATGTTCCTTGATAAAGTGTCTGAATCTACTGTAGTGCCTCCTATAGCCCTTTGCTTGTAGGTAGACACTTAACAATTGTCTGATGAATAAAAGTGTCTAGGAATAAGGTTGCTGCATGGAAGTGTTCAGATTGCACACTGTACAAGCGTACCATAAATGCAAATGTGTTAATTTGCATCATAGATAAATATCCTCTAAAATCACAGGCAGGCCTAAGAGTTCCAGAGCAGTGGAGAGCTGGCTCCTACAAAAACCCACATTGGGGGGCGCCTGGGTGGCTCAGTCAGTTGAGCATCTGGCTTCGGCTCAGGTCATGATCTTACAGTTTGTGGGTTCGAGCCCCGCATAGGCCTCTGTGCTGACAGCTTAGACTGGAGCCTGCTTCAAATTCTGTGTCTCCCTCTCCGTCTGCTGCTTCCCCAACTCGTACTCTGTCTCTCTCTCTCTCCTTCAAAAATAAATAAAAACATTAAAAAAAAAATTTTTTTTAAACCCACATTGGGCGCATATGACCACACACACACTCAGGAGACCATTCACCTGCACACTGGCACATACCTGCACAAGGTGCACCTGTCCTGTCTTAGTGACACCTGTGATTGGTCCCTCCCCTACATGGCAATTTTGAAGACTCCCTTCCCATTCTCCAACTTTGAGCTTGATAGAGGTGTCTGCCATGGAAGTGGGAGAAGCAACACAAACTATTTAAAACTTGTCTGGAGTCTTGGTGTGGGATCACGCAAAAGCATAGGCAGTTGTGTGCACACAGAGCTACTACCAGTTGGTGCTCTGGTTAGCCCCCCTGGGAATCAGCCATTTGGGTTTTGTGACAATAACTACATTTTACTTGTGGAAATGGAGTGTTTTCTGATTTCACAAGGGCACCATATGGGCTAGTAGCAGCCTTGCTTCAATCATGCTCTGGAGTCAGAAAATTCTACAACTTACCATCTGTGAAGATGTAGGCTAAGTTATTTATCTTTCTGTGTCAAGGCTTTCTTCATCTATAAAATGAGGATAATAATAATGTTTAATGCAAACATTATTTTGAGAACTAAAGCCTGGAAGCCTGGCACAAAACTCTCAATAAATGTTAAAAGTCATTACCAATAAATAGGTAGTGATGGTAAGGGATCATATGGTTTACTTGCATTTAAATATAGAAGGTTCAGTGCTCCTATTTAACATAGAAACTGAATTAGACTTGTGTAACATCGTTTCCTCTCCCCCATTTTCCCCTCCCCTCCTTTCTCTCCCCCTGACATACAAAAAGCTGTACATATTTACTAAGCTTCTTCTTTTTGGCTACGCTCACCCCCTTGGTAATCTCGCGTCTGTGGTTGTGAACACATGTATGCCAGTGACTCCCAAATTTAAATCTCTAGTACAGACCTCTTCCCTCAACTCCAGACTTGGGTAGCCAACTGCCTATTCAACTACCTTATGCACATGTATAACATATATTATAAACATGTCTGAAACTAGGCTATGGGGAAAGCTCCTTCCTTCCCAAATCTGCTACCATCTTACTTGAGGGAAAACTCCATTCTGCCATCTACTGAGGACAAAAATTTTGAGATCATATCTGATGCTTCCCTTTAACTCCATATCCAATCCATCAGGAAATTTAAAGTATATCCAGAATCTGATGTCATCACTACTGTCAACCTTGGCTGAGTTACCATCACCTCTTATGTAAATTATTCAATAACCTATATGGTCTCCCTACTTCGAACCTTCTTCCTGCCCCCTTTACTGTGTAGTCTTAACACAACAGCCAGAATGACTCTTTTAAAATGTGAAACAGATCGTGTCACTCCTCTGTTCCACATCCTTCAATGGTTCTATATCCCACTGAGAGTAAAAGCCAAAGTACTTACTTATGAGGATCCATAAGTCTCAACATAATAAGCCACCTGCCCACCTCCTCACATTCTGACATCAGCTACCACCACCATTTCCATTGCTTACTCTACTCCAGCCACACTGGACTCCTTGTTGTTACTTATGCCAGCCAGGCATGCACCCACATCTAGGCACAATGGTTGTCCCTCTGCCCAGAACACACTCCTTTCTACTACTGGCAGTGCAGATTTCTCCTCTCACCTTTTTCAAGTCTTTGCTCAAATGTTTCTTCCCTAATGAAGTCAATTCTGACCACCTTGGCAACCTACCCCTCATTCTCACCCCCTAATTCTCCCTTTCCCTTTTTCTGTCATTTCCATCCTGCCCATTACCTTCTAGATATTTATATTTAAATATTTAAATATTTAATATTATTATATATTATTATTGTCTGTTTCATCCTCTTTGAATGTAATCTCAAAAATTCTCAGGAATTTTTATCATTTTTGTCTGTTTTTAGTGCATTGAAGTATCCTCAGGATCTGCATGTGGAGTATAGATACCAAGTGTAATTAAGGACAACTCCCAGGTTCTTAGTCCAAGAACTGGAAGGTCGAAGCTGATATTTAATGAAATGGAGAACTCTGCAAGAGCAGGTTTGGGAGCAAGGAAGCCTTGGAATTCAGTTCTGGGTATATGAATTTGAGTTGCTATATCAGGCTCTTTAGAGTAAGTTTGTTGCAGTAAACAACTCCAAAAATCTTAGTGCCTTAAAACAAAAAAGTTTATTTCTTGCTCACCTGTGTGTCTGCTGCATGTTGACTCTGGCTGTGTTGACTTCATCCCATGACCCAGGCTGAAGGAGCAGAGATGGTTCTGATTTTA